AAATACTTAGGAGTGGAATAGCTGGATCATAGGGAAGCTCCATCTTTAGTAGGTCAAGAAATCTCCACACAGCTCTCCATAGTGGTTAGCCCAGTTTGCACACCCAGCAATGCAGGAGATTTCCTTTTTCTCCACAACCTCGCCAACATTTGTTGTTGCTAGTTTTTTTTAATATGTGCCATCCTCACTGGTGTAAGATTGTATCTCATGGTAGTTTTGATTTCATTTCCCAGATTACAAGGGATGTTGAACATTTTTTCATATTCCTGTTGGCCATTTGCATTTCCTCTTTGGAAAAGTTTCTTTTTAGCTCTTCTGCCCATTTTTTCACTGGACTATTTTGTTTTTTTTGAGTCTCATCAGCTCTTTGTAGATATTTGTGATCACTCCTTTGTCATTAGTGTTGTGTGCAAAAATTTTCTCCCAGTCGTTGGGGTTTCTCTGGTTTTGGTTATTGCCTCTTTTGCTGTGCAGAAGCTCTTTGATTTGATGTAGTCCCAGCTGTTTATCTTAGCCTTCACTATCACTGCTTTGGGCGATGTGTCTGTAAAGATGTCTTTGAGGTGCATGTCATTTAGTGTTTTGCCTACATTTCTTTCTATGTATTTTATAGTTTCAGGTCGTATGTCTAGTTCTTTAATCCATTTTGATTTGGTTTTTGTGCATGGTGTGAGATAGTAGTCAAGCTTCATTCTTTTGCATGTAGTGACCCAGTTTTCCTAGCACCATTTATTGAACAAACTTTCCTTGCTCCAGTGCATATTTTTTTGCTCCTTTCTCAAAGATTAGTTGACCATAGATGTGTGGGTTTTTTTCTGGATTTTTATTTGGTTCCATTGATCCATGTGTCTGTTCCTGTTCTGACACCATGCAGTTTTGATGCTTATGTCTTTGTAGTATAGTTTGAAGTCTGGGAGTGTGATGCCTCCATTTCCTTCTTTTTTTTTTCAGTAGAGCTTTGGCTATTCGGGGTTTTCGGTGATTCCATATGAACTTCATCAATAATTGTCATATTTCTTTGAAGAATGTCATTGAAATTTTTATTGGAATAGCATTGAATCTGTAAATTGCTTTGGGTAGGATGGCCATTTTAATATTAATTCTTCCAATCCATGAGCAGTGGATGTCTTTCCAATTCTTTGTGTCTTCTATTTCTTTTAACAGTGTTTTATAGTTTTCTTTGTATAGGTACTTTACCTCTTTTGTTAGGTTTATTCCCAAGTATTTGATTTTTTTTTGTTTCAATAATAAAAGTGATTTTTTTTTTTTTTTTTTTTTACTTCTTCTTCAGATTTATTGTTTGTCTATAGGAAGGCTACTGATTTTCGCGTGTTGATTTTGTATCCTGCCACTTTACTCATCTGATTTAATTAGTTTTGTTGTTATTTTTCCCACTGTTGGTTGTGGCTTTAGGACTCCTTGTAGTATTTTTTGGAGTGGGGGTTTAGTCATATTGAAATTCCAGAGTTTCTGTTTGGGAAGGTCCTTAGTCTTTCCTCATAGAGTAAGGAAAGCTTTGCAGGATAGAGTATTCTTGGTTGGTATTTGTTGTCTTGGAGTCTGTTGACTATGTCCCTCCACTCTCTCCTTGCCTGTAGTGTTTCTTCAGAGAAGTCTGATGTCAGTCTGATTGGTTTTCCTTTGTATGTTATCTATTTCTTCCCTCTTGTCAGCTTCATTATTTTTTCCTTGTCTTGGATTCTTGGGAGCTTTACTATTATGTGTCTTGCTGTATTTTTCCTTTCATCATGGAAGTTTGGTTTTCTTCTTGTGCCTTGCATGTTTATTTTCAGCTCCTTCTTCATGTTTGGGAAGTTCTCTTCAATTATTACTTGAATATTTTCTCTGTTCCTACATCTCTATCCTCTCCTTCTGGGATTCCTGTAACTCTTATATTTCCTTTCCTCATGGAGTCAGATATTTCCTGAAGTCTTTCTTCAGTCTTTTTCATTCATAATTCTCTTTCCTTTTCTGTTTTGGATCTTTTTATTTCTGTGTCCTCGAGAGTGCTTAATTGTACTTTCATTTCATCTATTATGTTATCTGTTATCACTGCTTTTCCCAGCATTCTTTAGCAGAGGAGCCCGGAGCGCTCACCCAGGGAGAGGCGAGGGTTGGGGGGGACGCGCTGAGAGTCAGTGTCAGCAGAGCCAGGGTCAGGGTCTCCCGCTCAGGGACGGAGCCCGACATGTGCCGAGAAATGCCTCCTGGTTGCCCGGCTGGAGCCAACAGCCGCCCAGCGTCAGCGGCCCCAGGGAGAGGCGCCTGCTGGTGCTGCTCTGGGCTCTCCAGCCAGTGCCTCTGCCGCGGGCCCCGGGGTCACAGCGTGGGCGGTTCCGCAGGGACCCAGGGGCAGAGCTGGCCCCAGTGCCGCGGGGGGCGGGGGGCTGCCCCCCATGGGCTCATGTGGCATGGCCAGGCCCACAACCCTACCCCCATCTCCCCCCCCTCACACACACACGTGCACACACACTCACGTACACCCCGCCTCGCACACTCAGGGGCGCCCCAGAGCCCAAGTTTGCTCCAAAAAGTGCCCGGGCAGTCTCTGGCTCCTGGAGACACAGTGAGCCGCTGTGCGTGGGGGGCGCCTGGTCTCTGCTCGGTCCCACAGGCCTCCTCGGAGGGGGCTGACTCCAGCACGTTCTGTTTGGAGGAAGCTGCCATCCAGCTCTGTGAACACACAATGCTGGGGCGGGGGGCCCATCCCACGCACTTGTCTTATCTCTTACCTCCATCTGTCTGCCCAGAACGCCCAGTCTCACGCACAACATAGCGGGCGCCTCAGAGACACATTTGAGGATATTCCTGAGGCATGTGTGCTGGGCTGTCCTCATCACCAGTGGGGTGTCTGGATCCCACACTTGTTCTGATGGACCGCACGCTCACCCTCCTCGTCCGCGCTGTGTCATCTCGGTGTCTGCTGCCTCTGTCCCAAGGGATGACAGTTGCCTCCCTCAGAGGCCCCTCCCCCCTGACGAAACCAGAGCCCAGCTGTTGCTTCCAAAGGCTGGACATGGTGCCTTGCTGCCCCCGTGTGGAAACAGACGGTGGTATGGCCAGGGCAATCATATCCTACTGGCCAAGACAGCACACAAATGGGGTGTCGACGCTGCACCAGAGCCCCTTTCTGCTCTCCCAACTGCTTCGCTGGGATGCGACTTGACCTAAAGAACAAAACCAAACAATCTGGAGACCTCGGCCTCGAGGAACTGCATTTTTGGCAGGACATTTGAATGGATGGAAATCTTCTGTTCCATGGGAAGAATACTGATGCTTGTGAAAATGACAAGCCCAGGTGCTGTTCAGAAGACTCAGTGGATATGGGTGAGGATTGAATCCACATTGAAGGAATTGGACTGAAATCTCTGGGACACCGCAATACCTCTAGTGCTTGCTTGTCATCTACACAGCAGCTGCTCTAAATGACATGTCATCAGAGCCCTGGGTGTCCCCTTCCATGTGCAGACCACCGAGGACGTGGAAGGCAGCCAGGACTGTGGCCGCCCTGCCAACAGATAGGTTGCAGAGTGGGGTCCCACAGGACTGCCAGACATGGACAAATTGTAGGCGCTGTGGGCTGTATGCACAATGCCCACTTTCTCTAATTCTGATATCGTGCCCATAATTTCCTTGTGGCCTCCAGGCAGCCGAGATTGCTTGGTATTAGTCACTCACCTAGGGACTGGCAGTTGTATGGGCAGATGCTTAGCGTGTCCTCGCACCACTGCCTTTATCACACACACTCTAAGGAGAAACTCTCCACTGTGATCTCTATCCATAAGCCACGTAGTACATCCACTCCCAGGATGTACTCTGGGATGGGCGATCCATATACTTTATACTCCTTCAGGGGTATTCGCCCAAACCCCAGGGATAGTCTCACTTCTGTCACCTTGACACTCAGGCCTCCATAGCCATCAAATGTTTATAAGCAGGCCCTTGAAATTTTTCTGGATTTCCATAGAGCATAGTTCATTCTCCTTCTGTGTCTACCAGATCTAAAACCATTTGCACATTAGTTGGGGACCAGAGGATGGCTAGCTCCACATGTGGCCCCAGGTCCCTGCCCATCCCCTGTGTACAGGTTCCTTGGCCCTCAACCTATTTGAAAGTGATCAGGCCATCACCCAAGGATGGGGTCGGCAGCAGGTGGTCTTCTAGGTGGAGGGCTCATGCCTGAGGCCTGCAATCCTTCTCAACAGTGTGAGCCTCTGGTCTTCTTGAAGCTGTTTCCGTAATTCTAACAAGTATGCACTGAGCTTCGCATGTATTTTAGTGTGATCTACACCTGCTCTCACTAAATCTGTCCACATTTGATTCCGGGTAACTTTTACAGGTTGGGTGATGCGAAGAAGCTTCCTTGCCCTCCTCGGCATTCCTCTTGATTGTTCAACAATTATGCACATTCCTTTCTGAGTTTGAGAGTGCTGGCTCTTGACTTCACCCAAGCTAGCTATCGTTGTTGTGACATTGTGTATTTGACGTTCCACATAGGGTGCAAGAACTGCCATGAGGGTATCCAAATGAGGACATCAAGGCACTTGTTAATACCAAATCTCTCATCCCTGCTGTGAAATGCTCACCATTGGGACCACGAGTATTCACATTGAACAGGGCCTGCCACATCCCCAATTCCTGAAGTACATGTACAGCTCGACATACCTCTGCCATGTGCTCACTGTCTCTGGCACATCTCTTGCATCATCCCATACTGTTCGTATGGCAGCCATTATCCATTCCAGTAGGATATGATTGCCCTGGCCATACCACCGTCTGTTCTGCAGCCTCTGTCTCAAGGATGGGTGTAATTCCCTGAGGCCAGTCTCTCCATCTCTTGTGCCATACAAATAATCCATTCCATCCCCACATCCCTCAAATGTAGCAGCCACGATGCCAACGGTTGCCCTGCTTTCTGGCAGAATTGTTGCCCAAGTCCACCAGTTCCACCTGGGTGGATGGTCGGTATGCAGTAAATTCTGTCGTTTGTGCTGTTTTAGCAGCCTCAACCCCAGGGCCATGGACCATATTCGCTTTACTTTCTCAGACACCACCCGGTGAGCCGGAACATGGAGCCAGCCTTCTCCTACTCTCCAGAGGAGTCTGGAAACTCTGAGGTGGCAGCTTGGTTTGCCACTACTGGATGACACTTGGACAAAGGGCCACACTCCCTCTCATCCTCTCCTGAGAAGGAGTCGGGCGTCTTCATAAAGATGGGTTGGTTTCTCTGAACTTCTTACCCAAGAATCACCAAACACTGTTGCAGATCTTGCCTCTAATCCTGCAGTTGCTGGATTCTGGATCACTCTTTGCGTCTAGACTCTCACAGAGCTGTAGAACCACCCGCTTACAGCCCCTGCTGCCTCACAGGCGCTATATTACCTAAGGTCTCTTCTATTTCGTATATGGCCTGCACCAACTGCAATAGGGATTCATCAACTTCTGGCCATTCCTGGGGAGGTGCCCGCTGGGATAGGAGACTGGCCCTGAGTACCATCTACTTGTGGCCACCCACCCCTTCATCCCTGCCCAGTTTTCCAAGGATTAATTGACCCGTTTAAATTCAAACATCCTGCTTTCTACCCAAATGAAAGGCAAACCCCAACATGGGTAGATTCATCAGTGTTTGAAGCAGTTGGGTTGTTTTCCTAGCTGTTGTCATCACCTTCCTACATTCTGCCATAATCCACAGCACTCTACCCACTCCTGATACTCCAAAAATAGTCGCCCAACCCCAAAGCTTGCCCAAGAAATACACAGCACAAACTACACAGTGGCCGGCCAAAGGTGCACCCAGGGCCCACTGCCAGCCCCAGAACCAAAAAAATGAAACCCATGGCCCCCCAGTGGTACAGCCAGAACTAGCCTTCTCTCCTGGAGCCTGGCCGGCACCACCAGCCCACCAGTGTTTGGGTGCCCGCCCACAGTGCCCACCCGGGTCCTGGGTGCCCGGGTCGGCCCCAGCAGGGCCATGGGTGCTGGCGTCAGCTGGTTGGGGGCAGGCCGTGCCCTGGGCCAGGGGACCCCAGGCCGGTGAGGAGGGGGCCGCTTGTAGGTGCGGCGGCCAGCATCCATTCAGGCCCTGCGGGGCCGCTGGCCGGGTTGGGGACGCGGGTCTGCCGGTGCCTGGGCTGTCAGAGGCCGAGTACCGAGGTAGGCCACGCCAGCCTGTGGAGGCAGGGTGGTTGCCGAGCTGCCCGCCAGCTCCAAGGCCCGGAGTGCTGGGCTGCGCAGGCCGCCAACCCCAAGCTGGCCCTGTGTGTGCGCAAGGTGTGTGCGTGTGTCTTTGTGTGTGCCCGCGGGCAAGCGCGTTTATGTGTGCGTGTTGGGGGCAGCGGGGTCCCGCACAGACGGCCAGGTGCACTCGGGTGGGTTCGCTGGTCACCTGGGCTGGCAGGCAGGGGGCCCAGGTAGGAGGGCCCAGGGCCTTTGGGAGTGGGTGGAGAACCGGCGCAGGCCAGCGGCAGAGACCCCGGGGTCGGGCCAAAGGCCGCCAGCAAAGCGCAGAAGGCCCAGGGGCCGAGGGCCATCACGCCGGCAATGCCCCGGCCGGCCTGCAGAGACCGAAGGCGGGAGACAGAGGTGTGAGCACACACAGAGCGAGCCCATGACCCCGACGACAACCACGGGCTGGAGGCAGTGAATGCAGCCAGGATGGAGGTGGCCTTGCTCCCGGGGAAGCCAAAGGTCCACAGGCCACGAAAGCAACAGGCCAACACCCCCTCCCCCTTTCAACCATGACTTTATGGAAAACCAACTTTCAAAATCTATTTCTCCCTTAAGAGACTGTAAAAGATATTCCCATAAACTCTTGGATAGAGTAGTCTTATAATCTGGAGACTGTATGAAAAAGCTTTTTCTATTTACATTAAAAAAATTACTATTAATGCAAAGTGATGGCAAACATGGGAAAATGCCAGGCAGTTTTCCTTATAATAGGAACTGTTCATCACCCGCCTTTCCAAAGCCCAGTTAAAAGCATGCTCAAAGAGGCTTTTCTTTGACTGAGTCATTCTCTTCCTAGAGAGAGGTCTGTCCATTCGGCCTTGGTACCGTTGCTATTCCAAGGAATTTGTTTCATCCAGTGTGCACAATTTGTTGGCATGCCATTTTTCAGAGTAATTTCTTAAAATTGTTTTAAATTTCAGAATGATCCATGGTAATCTTTCATTTTTGATTTTAGTCATTTGGATTGCACTGATTTTCTCTATTTATCAAGTCTCTAATTAAGTCACGTGCAAGGTAATATTCATTATTTTCTTCTGCTCTGGAATGTTAAGAACATATTTTGAGACTACAATCACCGCACATTTAAGGATTGCCCCATTAATCAAACTATTTGTCACTATGTTGTCACCTCTTTTTCTACGATAATTTTTATTCTTCTGAATATCCACTTTTCTTGATTGTAATCTAACTACTTCAACTTTCATGACTAGCATTTTATTAGTATTTCGATTTCTCTTCACTTTTAAAATGGAAAGTGGGGCCTTCCCAGTGGCGCAGCGGGTTGAGCACCACACTGTGGAGCTGTCCCTGGCCCCGGCCACCAGCGAGGGTCCCACATGGCGCGGCACACGTCTCCTGTCTTGCCCGCTGCTCCCCTCAGCAGTGTATTTCAGTCAATCTGCCTTTTCCACTCCCGGCTCTGTCTCTGGTGAATCCTCTCACCCTTTGCGCATCTAGCCTGTACCCTAGTTCTTGAATAAAAATAAACAAATATAAAAAAATAAATAAATGAAATGAAAAGCCCCGGCAGGTCTTCACTCTGGGATTCTCTGGTGTCCTTCTCCCTTTCTGTCCCGGCCTCTGCTTCTCTCCGCGGATATATCAACACCCCCGCCAGGCCACAGGAGGGAACCCCAGGACTGATAACAGTGTAGCAAATAAAGGCCCCTCAGGTGGGGGATCCTAAGGGAGGGAGTGAAGAGACGCCTGGAACCACTTTCCCTCCACTAGGCCAGCAGGAAAGACCCGGCTCTCCAGCAAAGTACCCCCCTCGCAGCACCCCACTGCATGCAGCATGCACAGCAGAGGTCAAAGGTCGCAGGAGCTGTGACCATTGGCACAGCCTCCCTGGGGATTCCTGGAAGCTGCTGAGGGGAGGGGATTGGGTGCAACATCCAGTCACTTCTTTCTCTTTCTCCTGTTGAACAACTGGTCAGTCCTTCTGGAAATGGGTGTCCATTAATCCAAGGTAGCACCCCAAGGGGGGTTCGAGCAAGGGGAGGCTTCAGGGGCTCAGAGGCCAGAGCAGGAGGACTGGCCCGAGCCAGAGTCTGAGAGCAGAGCAGATCCTGAGGCGGCAACTGGGCCCCAGCAGCTCCCCGCCTCCGCGGGGCAGCCAGAGCAGGTCCTGGTGTCCAGTGAAGGGAGGAGCCCGACGTTAGCTGGGCTTCGGGGCCTTCCTCAAACCCACCCCACCAGCCGTCTGAGAGAGGGGATTCAACGGTCCTGGAAACCCAGGGGCAGCAGCCACCCCCTGGGTGGCCCCACTGCCATTCCAATGACCTGGAGCAGCCCCTCGCCCAGGGCTTCCGGAGGATCAGGCTGGCTGTGGGCTCACATCCATGGCTCCTCCTACTGGCTCCCCTGGTGCTGGCAGCTGTCCTGGGCACCAGGTGGATTTCCCTGCCCCGGGAGATGAAAGAAAACCTGGAGGAGCAGGACACCCCTTCGGGCAGCACGGGCAAAGCCGAGCGTCGCTTCGTGCAGGCACATTTCTCCACCAACGAGTCACACCTCTTCTCCCCATTTCAGTCCAGCACCGAGGTCAACTTCGCCTCCATACTGGTAGTCTGCAGCACTGCCAATCTGCTGGATTAAGTCATCTTCTCAGAAATCAGTCAACTGGACGAGGTGGTGCAGATGCAGACACTGACTGCGCCCTGGGGAGATGGAACCCTGGTACTCTACCCTCAGGTGTGTGCCAGGTACCAGAGCACCTGCATGCCCTCCAACCCAGTCCTGTTCATCTGGCAGAAGAATAACAACATGGACCTGAAAAGCATCACCTTCCCTATTTACAACACTTCCGCTGCTCCCCTCTACTTAGTCGGCTTCTTTGATCCTGGCTCGGGGATTAGCCGGTTACTCCTGCAAGCCAAGGCCATGCGGCTGCAGTATTACCTGAAGACCGCGGACCCCGAGGACAGCACACACAGCCAGAAGTGGCTGCTCGAGTTCCTGGACCAAATTCACTCCATTGAAAAGTGCCTGGCCTTGAAGAACATCCAGGTGCCTGGGGCTGGGTTTAGAGGGAGGAGAAGGTGGGAGGGTAAGACATGCCCAGGGATGTGTCCGCGCCTGGCTACTTGGTGGATGTCATGACTTGGAACCGGCTCTGCTCCACTCTCTTTGATGCTTAAGCCAGCTTTCTTCAAGGGACACCAAGGGAAGCCGCCAGCCTATATACTGGGTCGCATTCTAGTGGGAAACATTCATTCTACACCCCAGGGCTGGGCGTGTTCAGGGCAGACATTGATCTTCAGGGTTCCTTTTGGTTTTCTAGTCAGAATGCTCTCACTTCACGTCTGTGCTGTTTCTGGAGCTCCCGAAAAATTGCTTGGTGGCACTGGAAGAAAAAACAAACTTTAAGCTGATGTTCCTTAGTGTTTTTGAAAAGGACAACTAGCTCAGATTTCTCAAGTATTTTCTAGCATCCTGCAATGCACCTCAGATGATGAGCAAACCTGCTAATACTTTTGTCCAGGCCTGGTGAGAGACACCTGCTGGGAAAAGGCTTTGAATAGCAGACCTTGCTGAAATTATACTTTGTACTTAAATAGCAAAAGAGAGCAACCTACTTGTCATTTAGAAAAAGCCAAAATTTTGTCAGTTATTAATGATTACACAGTATTAGAGAAAATTGAGAATTTGTATACTCAGGAATGTTAAACATTGGCTTTTTTCAAAAAAAAAAGAGATATATTTATTTATACAAGCACTGGGCACAGTCAGATGCCGGGAGGGTCAGAGAATTCACCAGAGCCAGTGCGGGGAACAGAACAGGCAGACTGACGAAATACACTGCTTAGGGGAGCAGTGGGTGTGGCAGGAGA